TGCGGAGCACCTGGTGTTGTGCAAGTATCGGTGAGTGACCTTAACAACGAAGAATAAAGATTAGTAAATAAGAAAATTATGAATTTTACGAACTGCGCTGAGAAATTTATACATAGCCTCAGTCTGTTGATTTGTGATTCAAAAAAAGTTCATAAGTACTAAGTATTTGTTTGAGCTACTCTCCCAATTGGCAAAGCTATGGAGACACAAATAATTTTTTATCTCTTTGAAATATACACTGGCGGCAGAAACAATAGACCCATCGTACTGTTAAGGATTTTGGCTGTATTTATTTAGGTTATTTTATGTTTAATATTTTTTTATAAAAGCCTAAGTAGTTGTGCAACAAACATCATGTAAATCCGCTTTTCAAACTTTGAACAAAAATTATAAAAATTTGACAAATTTTCACCAAATTTTCAAACTTTTTATTCAGAATTTTTAGACAAATTTTTGGTATGCAGTTTTTTAGCCCATTTAATTTTAGTATAAAGTGCAAGTTTGAATTTGCTACAAAACACCGTTGATTTTTAAGATATTTTTTTAGTAAAAAGTTTAAAAAATCGGTTTAAAATTTGTCGACTTTATATAATTTTTGTATAAAGTTTGAAAAGGAGATTTATATGGTATTTGTTGAGGGCTAGCCAGGCAATATTACACATAAAATAACCCATGGAATAATAGAAAAAAATCCCCATAGTAAAGCGAGTCTATTATTTCTGCCGCCACTGTATAACATTCGTAACATCCCTGGTTCAAATGTTGGTTTACTCCTTATGCACGCATCATTTCTTATTTAGTATAATTTTTTTGAGATGAAATTTAAAAAATAATCGTATATGCTAGCAAATACCCAGCGTGCTTCACTGCGCCTTAAAAGTATTTTTGTGCTGTTTGATACCCGTATTGTAATATTTCATTTATTTTTTCATGTTAATTGAATAAAATTTTTCAAACAGGAGGTAGCCCCTCTCTAAAATATTTTCGGCAGTAAACTTTCTTAAACCTCTACAGTTTGATGCCCATATTGCAATATTCATTTTTTTGTAAATTTAATTAAATGAAAATTTTCAATCAGCTGGCAACCATCAAAAAATAAAAAATTCCACTGTTAGCCTTCTTAAACCTCTTTCTTTTGACAACCATGTTATAATATTTACTTTTTCTTATCAATTTACTTAAACTGCAATTTTGAAACAGTTGGCAACCCTATTATTATTTTTTTCTATATTTTAAGTTAGACCTCTAGCAATACATCGGTGAAAACTGTATACATTATATGTATAGAATACAGGCCGACGTCTTTACAATATAGATTTTAAAGAAAAATTAATACAGAAGCCATATCAACAATTTTTAAAACTTTTGTCTGTCTGTTCGTTTGTAGGCGCATTACTCGAAAACTAATACATGCCAAAGGTCTAACTTAAAATAAAGAAAGAAAAAAAAATTTGAAAATTGCAGTTGAAGTAAATTGAAAAGATAAAGCAAATATTGCAATGTGGCCGTCAAAAGAAAGAGGTTTAAGAAAGCTTACAGCTGAAGATATTTTTGTTGAAGGTTGCCCCCTGTTGGAAAATTTTAATTTAATTCAATTGATAAGATAATTTAATTGCAATATGGGTATCAAATTGAAGAGGTTTGGGGACGTTTACTGCCGAAAATATTTTTGAGGAAAGTTGCCACCTGTTTGAAAATTAAATTAAATTAATAAGATAAATTAAATATTGCAATACGGGTATCAAACAGCACAACAATACTTTTGAGGCGCAGTGTAGCACGCCGGGTACTTGCTAGTAGTAATATTTGTTAAAATCTGTGTTAATATTTCTTTATTTCTGCAGGCCGGCAAAGCAGCATCGGCTGTTAACCGTCTCACGGACCCCAGCAAGTATACTGGATCTCATAAGGAACGTTTCGATGCTACAGGCAAGGGCAAAGGTATTGCTGGTCGCAAGGATTTAGTAGACGCATCTGGCTACGTATCCGGTTATCAGCACAAGGATACATACGATCAAGCACATTAGAGGCAAAAAAAAAATATTGACATTAAGCTTGATATAAGCAAATTTATAATATAAATAAAAAAACATATACTTATTTAAATTAAAAAAAAAATCACGATAATGCACAAAAAAAGTAAAATTTAGCTTTACATAAATATTATTTTATGAAGATTTTCTTTTATTAATTTTTTTTAGTGCTAACTACCTTCAAGAAGCAAAAAATACGTAATTTTTATTTATACACCTTAAGCAAATTTTTTAATAAAATTTTGTGATACTTTTACGGCTCTAATCTGTATCAGTGACAAATTCTTGTTTTTTTTTCACGCAAAAATATGTGAAAAAGTTTAAATTTGTCAGTAAAAAAATTATTGTTACCGATACCGAATTGGGCTATTAATTAAAACTGCAATAAAAATGTATATGCATGTAATAAAAAACAATATTTATTCTCAATTGGCTGTTTTAATTTTAAATAACTCTGTGTTATTTTCATATACACTTATTTATGTTTTTATAAGACCTACGTACTGGAATACATATGTATATGTAAAGAAAATTTAGAAAGCAAATTCCGTGTGACATTAACAAAGTTCAAAGTTCTTGCATCAGATATACAGACTAAAAATTATAGAATTACTACTACAATGTTTTAGACAATATTTTTATCCCTCTCGTTTTTACGAAAATTAAACTTTTTTAAACCTTTTGAGATGATGCCTTTTTCCAATACAGTACTCAAAGTATATAAAATGTTGTATGTGTGTTTCAAAAGACACTGCTATTTATAAAAAAATTGAGATGCAATTTCGAATAGAAAGCATAGCTCGTATTAATAAATATAGTAAAAAAATTAAATAGTTGGGTATGTTTTATTCATGCTGATTTTGGCGACAAGGTACATTTGTACATACACATCTATATGCATTCACAAAAAGTCAATATTCCAGGCTCTCGCTCGTATCAGAAAAAAGATCGCCGAAAACCTTCAACTCTGAAGATTTTTTGCAAGGCAATTTTGAAATTTTTTTTCCGAACTGGGGGGGGGGGGTCGACTTTTTAAATTTGTTTTCATATCTTCAGCATTTGCTAGTCGCATCTTATAGCCAGTTTCACGAAAGCAAATTTAAGTGAAAAGTTATTATTTATATTTGAATTTAATATGAAAACTGGCATTAGGAAAAAAATCCTTTTTTCATTTAAATTGCTGGTGAAACTGGTGGTTAAAGTATGATATATCGATGTTCTTGTCACGAAGAGGCATTTTTTTTGTTACAAAGCTCATTGGCCTTATGTGCTCCGTTCTAGTACTTACCCACCAGATCTCAGGTCTTATCACCCTAATGAAAGTAACTTAAGCTGACCAAAACACATTAAAATTTTGCTAAGAATGTATTTCGATTATTCCAGTAGAACTAATAAAAAAAAGTTGTACTGTAGAATGTATGTAAGTGTTACCGAAAAATGTATAAAAGCGCCTCTAGATTCGTCCAAAAAAGAAGCTGGTATGTACACTAGGGTGGTCGTAAAGTGCATGTGAAAAAATTAAAGTCTGAATTCTAATGTTCTCACTCGCTAGGATTGTTCTACATCGAAAAAATACACCCCTGTTGTTTTATTTCGAAATCAAAAAGCGCTCAAAGTTTTCCATGAACTTTATATGGGGGAAGAAAAACAAATGTTCGTCGAATTTTTTCGATCGGAAAACTCTGTTGCTCTTTAGTAGACTGCCAATAATAATACCTAACTGTTTATTTTACCATTTCTTAATACTAACAATTTTTAATGGGCCCCTATTCTCGCCAGGAATGAGGATGTAAAGGGACGCATAGGACCTGTTCTGTCGTGAATTTCCTTTTGGCGAAATTATTATATCTGGATGCTGAAGGCGGAAGGGAAACAGTACTAAAGAGATATGGAAAGTAACAGACAAACTAAATGCTGTATGCTGAAAATGTCTACAAGGAGAATCATAAACAAAGGATTTCTTACTGGCCACTGGAAGGTAATGAAACATTTGTCTAACTTGGAAGTTGTTGGAAACAGCAAATTCCCAGGCCAGACCTAGGATCATAGTACAGAATAAAAGCTCGTCGCGGATACAAAACACTCTGTGTGCGTTCATTTAAAATCCATATAAATATATATCTAAAAAGCTTATCCTGACGCGCACAGAGTAAAAGCTTTATCTGGTAGTCTAATGCCTCACAAGTTGGAAGAAATACGAAAGCTGAACATGAAATTTAAATAATGTGCAGTCATTTGAATAAGAAAAGTATTTGGGAGTCATACTAGATCCTAAGCTTATTTGGAATTTTTATAAATGTTCTGTAAATTTCGAAATTTGATTTATGTAAATGATTTTTTTTTCTAGTAAATGATATTTTCATAAAAAAATAAAAAATTTTCAATTTTTTTCTCTTTGTTTTGTTTTAAATAAAACTGTATTATGCATTTTTATTCTAAAAACACAATTGTATGTTCGTATTCGATGCTTTAGAAATGTCCCGATTTTTGTCCACATAAATCTGGTCACCGTATCTATAAGAAACTTTTCTATTTTACAATACTAATCAAGATTGTCAGAATATATTAAATAATCAAAAAGTTAATTGTGACTAAGATAATGCAACGATATACTGTAAATCGATATGGACAATTAGAATGCTTCAATGATTTTAAGGTATGAGAAATGATGTTAACATGAAAATGTATGTACATTAGGGTGGTAAAAAAAAAAAAAATTTAAGTCCGAATTTTAATGCTCTCACCCCTAGAATTATTCTAAATCGAAAAAATATACCCATTTTTTTTAATAAAAAAATATTTAGAGGTCGCTCAAAGCGCTCAAAGTTTTCCATGTATTTTACATGGGCAAAAATAACTTTTCAAAGAAATGGTATAGATATCTTAAAAAACAATATTTTTCTCTTCAGGATACTTCTAATATTAATACCCCCCATTGCATTTTCTACGGTCCGCCCCGAACGGGGCTTAGTAGCCGCTACAACAACAACAACAACAACTGGGAATCTCCTAAAGAGAAATAGAGGTTCCCCATCGAAAATTATTGATTTTCAAGAATTCTATACCATTTCTACGAAAAGTTATTTTTTCCTATATAAAATACATGGACAACTTTTCCACAGCAATTGTAAAATTTATTTAATTTTAAAACTTCCGCCGAATTATTTCGGAGAAATATTACGGATCGTTTCGAAAATACCGGCAAAAATTTCATTATTTTAATTCCGTGAATAAATTTTTTAAACAATATTATGTATGTATACCTTTTAAGCTTTGGCGGAAAGCAGTACCAACTTTTTTATGGATAGTGATGCACCCTAATGCGCATACTTGCGTATGTAAATATAAAGGAACTTCATATTGGGCGTCAATAAGTGTTTGCGATATCGCCAATATATCCTTTACTAGCTTTAACTCCAGTCTCGATTTATTTATGTATTTTTCATAAAGGTCATTACAGCATTAATATTAAGTACTATTGAAAACTAAATTTCGTAATTTACTGTCTTGAAAAACTGACATCAAATATTATATTAGTATTGCCTAATGGTGTTGTTGTTGTAGCGGCAACAACCTATCCCTAATTATCTCTTCTTCTTATATCAAAGTATCGATATTTTAGTATGAATGGATAAGGGCTTGATGCCAGGAGCTTCCGGTGAGCAAATATCTTTTTTTGCACAAATGTCAGTTACTAGGTTTTGCAGAACCACGATAAACGGTTTTGTACTTTAAACGGCGATAAGTTTGTTGACTAATGCTGGGTCATTAGGGCATTATGGTTTGCTAGATTGATTTCGGTTTCTTGTAATTGATATTATTAAATTGTTCACACCTAGCTTTTACTAGGTAACATTTAAATAAATCTTATTTTGAATATAATTAGGCACAATGCTAGCGTACAAGACGATTTAGGAAACTTTTATGCTTACGCTTAAGCGGTAGTGTGTGTGTTGATATTGCAGTTACACTCAATTTTTTTTCCAGTCAACGTTTCATAATGCTCTCTGTATGTATCAATATCAAATATCTGAGGGGAAGCTTGATGCGCTAACCACTAAACCAAAGTTGGTATCACATCCAAGTCGGCTAGTATAAATTGCTTAGCATCAAGTCGAGATCGTTAGTGGGCACGCTAACCGATTGTAAAGTAGAGTTCTAGAAGAGCAAATTGTACAAAGTGGATTTTTACAATATATTTTGCAAAATTTTGTATTTTCCGTTTGGTATTAAAATTAACAGCGGAGGTGTTCGCGGCCATAGTGGAGTTCCCAATCAAAAATACAATAAACTAATCAACAAAAATAATACTATTAAATTAGTTGAATTCCATACACTTGAGGATTTAAAATACAAAATGGCTTTTCGCGACAAAAATGCAGTGATTACCGGCGGCGCCAACGGCATTGGCTTGCAAGTGTGCAAGCAACTGTTGGCCAATGAGGCGTCGGTGAGCATGATGGATATAGAATAATCTAAATTCTTGTTGCTTGTTTATACATACTTTTTTTTTATTATAAATATCTAGAAAATTGCAATTATTGATATACAAGAAAATACGGAAGATATCGCTAAGTTACGTGCTGCTCATCCCACACAAACTATAGTGCTGGTAAAAACCGACGTTGCGAATAGGCAGGGCATTGCAGATACCTACGAGGAACTTGGAAAGGCTTTTGGCTCCATTGATATTGTTGTAAACGTTGCTGGCATTTTTAATGATCAGGATGTACAGCGTACCATTTTAGTCAATTTGGTAATTCAAAAATGTTAAATCTTTTTTTATCACAATATTTACGCATTATGCTGTACGCGTTCATAGGGCGGCATTATTAATTCCACACTTGCGGCTCTTAAAGTGATGAGCAAGGAAAATGGTGGGGAAGGAGGTATTGTAGCAAATATGTCTTCTGTTGTCGGTTTGGATCCAATGTTTCTACTGCCTGTGTATGCTGCTACTAAAGCAGGAATTATAAATTTCACACGATGTTTGGGTGTAAGTGCTTTTATTTTAGACTTTCACTGTATTCATAAGTATTTATTTGCAGACTGATACTTACTTAAATCGCACTGGCATCAAGTTCATCACAATCTGTCCCGGCGCCACTATTACGGACATGTTTACAAATTTTACTGAGAAAATACTCTTTCCCGATATGGGTGATGAATCATATCGAGTGCTGGATCGTCTCAACAAGCAAAGTGCTGCCGATGTATCACGTTGCATACTTAGCGCTTTAGAAAAGGAGAAAAATGGTGAGGTTTACATAATCGAGGGCAAGCGACTGTTTCCAATGGAAATGAAGAGTTACTGGCGTGGTATCGAGAAGGAATTGAGCGATTAGAAAGATTGTAAAGATTCGTTTTGAAACTAGACACATATATTTAGTACATACAAACATGCTTGCTGGAATTAAATTTATTTACATACATGAATTTCTGATCAATTTCTCAAATCTGAAGCTTAGTACGAATTGTTTGTTATTGACTTTTCAAGAGGCTAGTAACTAACCTTTTTGAAGAATGCAGAACAAATCGTTGTTTGCTGTTTGCAGTTTAAACAAAACTCAATATGAGGCGTCATATTTTGCCTATTCATTAGTCATCGCGCCAAGTGACTAGCACTTCATCTGTACGAAAGCGTTGCGTTACAAATGATTCCTCGAAAGGCATTTGTGTACCAGAACGAAACATTTCAGCGCCTGCATGTGCGATCATCAGACCATTATCGATGCAATAGCGCTCATCCGTAGCAAATAGTTTACCGCCACGTTCTTCACACATGATGCGCATCATTTCTTGTAGGCGCTCATTGCAGCCCACGCCACCCACAATGAGTACCTTTTGTTTTGAATTGGACCATTAATTATTTTTTAATTCTTCTTCGTATAAATTTTCATGAAATACCTACCTCATTAGAACCACAATGCGCCATTGCACGTTCGGTAATTTCCACCAACATTGCAAATATTGTCTCTTGAAGCGAGTAACAAAGATCCTCATTACTATATTCCGGTACCTCCGCCGATTCTTCTGCCTTTTTACGCTTATTCCGCCTTTTGCTGGGATCGGCGATCTCTTCAATTTGTGAAAGAATACCCGAAAAGCTCACATCCATACCTATCAAAAATAAGCAACTATAATAAGTAGTTTGGAAGCTAAGGCATCTATACCCACCTTTGACGACGTACGGCAGTTTAATAAAAATTTTGCCCTTCTTTGCTAACTGCTCTATATTATAACCCGGACTGGGGTCGTTCGAAAGTTTAATTATGCGCGCAAACCGGTCTAAACAATTGCCCACGGCGATATCTATGGTTTCACCAAAAATGCGATATCGTTTATTAGAGTAGGCAATTACTTGTGTATTGCCGCCACTCACGTAGAGTACAATAGGATTTTGCGCGCTTGTTATTAGACGGCCCATTTCTATGTGACCAATGCAATGGTTAACACCTAAAAGTGGCTTTTCCCACAATAAAGAAAGTGTTCGTGCTACAATTGCGCCAATCAATAGTGGCGGCGCCATGCCGGGACCTTTGGTATAGCAAATGACATCTAACTCTTTTGGTTCCAGGCTAGCTTCTTTCATCGCGCTTTTGATAAGTTGGAGAATAACTTCTCTATGGTGCTGTGCTGTTTCTTTTGGCAAGAATCCTAAGAATTTTAAAAGTTAATAAATATAATTTATAAATCTTTACTCACAACCTTCGCCTGGTGGTGTCACATAGGTACGGCGCACATTAGCCAACACTTCTCCGTCACGTATTATGCCAACACCAATTTTATTCGCACTTCCTTCGATGCCTAGTGCGCACACCATTTTAAGTTTTTTACAAAGTTATTATTTTAGTACTTTTATTATAATCCTATTAATTTAATAAGCTATCAAAAATCGGCAATTGCTTATTTTTGTAAACAAACCGGCCTTTGGCAGCTGTCACTTTGTTCAAACAGCTGTTTGCCTAGATGATAGATAAACTGTGTCGAAAAACAAGTTCAAGCAACATATTCCACAACCGTAATGTTTATAAACTTGTTTAGCTCATTTGATCGGAGAATTTGTATCTCTTATAGGTTCTCTGATTTAATGCATTTTGGAATGCTTAGTATAAGGTTACTGATTCGATTCATTCAAATTCGATTATCCATAGCTATTTTTTTATTGCGATCAATATATGTACATACATACTAAAAATACGATGGATTTTTCATATTACAGATTTCATGCGCCTACACTGTAAACATGTCCACCATGTTGCATACCGTCTTCAAGAGTCACAACTCTAAATTTGGCATTTTTAAAATTATCCGCTAAAAATGTACACAGAGGTTTAATTTACCTTTCAGCAAAAGCTGGAGCGAATTTTGGTTATAATTAAAAAAAAAAAACCTTAGGTAAAGTCGCCCTTGCCCATATGATTAGCTTGTGCTAGGAAATAGTTTTTCGCATTTTCTGTCCAACGTATTATTTTGAGTTGTGACTCTTTTGAAGACAGTGTGCGATATGTGTACTTTAATCTAAAGAAAGTATGTATTTGCAACTTAGATTTTTAAATTTAAATAATAATTCAAATTTTATAACTTTAATCCTCTTCTGGCTCTTCATCTTCCTCTTGTAGATGTTCAAGCTTTAAGGTACCAGCAGCACGTACCTTATTCTCTGTAGCTACTTTATGCTTTTTCTTTGATTCTCTTTGCTGTCCAACAACATATTCTGGCATCACAACCTTGGAACCTTTTAGCCTAGGTTTATCCACCTCCACATCTTTTAGTTCATCATCTTCTTTAGCTTTCATTTGTTTTCTTATTTTACTAGACCTCTTAAACTCGATTTTTAACTTGCCTTCCTCGAAATTTCCCTCTTTTTCTGCACGCGCTTCCAGCTGCTCGTCCATTTGCTTTAAGAACTGAAAAGCTGCGGCAGTGTTGGTGTGATCTGAGATATCCACATCTGCCAGGGAGTACTTGGTCCACTTTTGTGGATTAACCTTTACGAACGATAATCGTCAAATTAATCTACGAATCTTAGCTTTTTAACAGCAAACATACCTTAAAATCTGGCGTCCTGCGAGGCTTTAAACATTTCGATAGTGGCATTTCGGGTTTCTTGAATATACTCTCTTTGCCACGCATTCGAGATAAGCTCTTATCAGAAGATGGAGCCCCTCTTTTTCTGTTTGGACGAATGCCGCGGCGGTAAACTAAATCAATTGCGGGGCTGGCCGAATGGCTTTGGTCTAGCGCTGTTCCGGTTAGCTCTTTGCTTGCATTGTCGAGACAAGCGAACAAGGCGTTCCGCTTCGCCTCAAAATCCTGCATTATGTATTTTTTTTTATAATCAACGTCTGTTTTTTATAATAAACTTCTGTTTTTTATTAGATATAACTTTTTTATTTTTTGACTCGCACTAAAATGACAGATCAAATCAAAACAACTCAAAGCCAAACAGCTGTTGTCTTGCCATATCGATTAATTAATTGGTAAAAATTAAATGGAGGCATTTGGGAAGTAATAGTGAAGACCCCTTGTAGTTTTTCTATAATCCGTTACTTTTATGACCGGAATCACTTCCTGCTTGGGCACATCGGATATATATAACGTTCAAACAAAGGCGTTAAAAACCAGAGGGTGATCCTCGACTCAGTGAATATTATATTGTGCTGGATTAGGTCGAAATTTGATACCTTGTTACTGAATCATGATTTGTGGAAAAGCCCATTGTGCAACGACACACAGTGCTCTTTTTGAACACTTCATGCGAATTAATCTTAGCGCTTCGTTAGAGGCAACATTTTGATATCAAACAAAATGGTTTTGTAAGCTAATTTAATCCCTTTCACGGAAAAATATTGCCATTGAACCCCAGTTACCCCTTGACCTTAAAAAAAAATCGGTCAAAAATAGTGTTCCGAAAAAACAAATGCAAAATCCACCGCATTTGTTCAAAAAAAAGTTTTTTCAATGTTTTGTTATACTAACATTACAATGTTAACAATGCAAAAGGCCCTAAGAAAAATAAAATAGGCGTTATTAAAAACGCATTCGGTTTTGTTTTTTGTTTCTCAAATACACCGTAAAGCCAATTTAGGGATGGCAGTAAGTCTGCACCAGTGCACGGACTTTACCACTTTATTGGTAGATCTACCAACTTTTTAGCTATATTATATTATCTATAATTTTTACCAACAAAGGCTAAAAATCTACCAATATTTTCCAGAAAGAAAGCAAAAAGATTTAAATGAACAGTTAACCCTCTAGTAAGCTGAACCGCCTCCAGACGGTCGTTAACTAAACACGTATTTAGTGCACCTATAATAATTTTTTTCCATATTCGAAAAGCACGATCTTTAGAAAAAAAGGGTACCTTTACGACGATGTAAATTTTAATACGTTATGTCAATCCGTTTTATTTTAATCGGCAGTTGAATCACAGATTGTGAAAGACTCGGTTAAAATTAATTATTTCTTGCTATTAAGTAATTTCGTAATTAAAGGAATTTTTTCTTTCGAAACATTTTTTGATACGAAAAAGTTCAGTGGGTTTCGTAGTTAAAAGCACAGTATTTTGATATTGATTCGAAATGGAGAAAATTGCTTTTGAACACAGACCGTCTACATACCGGCTTGCCGACATATAAAAACCCAGTTTGCATTTTTGACCATCTGCAGACGGGATTGCCGGTTCGTAGGTCAACATTGTGTAAGAGGAAGCTGAAAATACGTCAAAGTATATCGGCGAGCGAGTCGGCCGCTGTAGTGTAGTGGTAAGCAGTGCGCGCTTTCACTCATCAGCACCTGGGTTCAAGCCCTGGGCAACATCGCAAAAATATAGAAAAAAGGTTTTTTCTTAACAGCGGTCGTCCCTCGGCAGGCAATGGCAAACCTCCGAGTGTATTTCTGCCATGAAAAATAGCTTCTCATAAAAATACAATCGCCGTTCGTAGTCGGCGTAAAACTGTAGGTCCCTCCGCTTTGTGTGACAACATCAAGGCGCACGCCACAAGTCGAACTACACTAACATATGTGTGAGTTGGGCCCAGTTTTATGAATACCCTTTTTGTTGAATATTTTATTCATGTGAAATAGTTTTTTTTTTGTTTTAAATAAAAATAAACTTTATCCCATGGCGAGTTCACATAAGGTGATCGCCATGTTTTATCCTATATGAGTAAAAATTATTTAAATTGTTTATTTAAAAAAATCAACCAACTTTTACCATTTTTTTGATGTATATAAAATCCACCCTTATTAACTTGTTTCATAAAAAAGCTCTAAAAGCACTTCTGTATCCAAAGAAAAATAAAAAAAATCGCTTACGTTTTTTTTCGCGGTTAGGGCTCGATATACAAATGCATGTTCTTTAATGGGTTGACATAAGGTTTGTTCGTCGAGCAAAAAATTTGTACGAATTTGTACGAATTATCACGATTTTTGCCCAAATCGCGTTCGTGCAGACCAAAAAATTATCCAACACTCAAAAATTGTGAGAGCAAAGTGACAGTTCTCTTGGAGAGAAGTTGCAAATTCTTGCTGGAAAAAATTTTGCCAGCAAGAATTTGCAAACACGAAAAAACATGTGGTTGTGGCGCATGGTTGCATTTTTGTCTACAATAATTTGAATAAATTAGTTCGTTAAATTTAAAAATTTATAAACACGAGCGATTTTTTATGAAAAAAGGAAGCAAATAATTGTTGATATAATTAATTTAGTTAATTCCAATGATTTGAACTTAATTCGGCTGAAAAAAATGGTATTCGCAATAGGAATGCAATTGCAACCAGAGTCGATTTAAGAAACCCGACAGCTAGTACGATGAAGAAATTGAAATGTATGTTAAAGAAAGTCAGAACAAGAAATATACATGTATATCCTGTTTTTGGCCATCCGAAAGAATTTTAAAAATTCTATACAAATTTTTTATGTTTGAAATGCAACCGTGGACGCCAGCTGGCAGGGAAACTTGCAAATTCCTGCAAATTTGCGTTCGTGCAGAAATTTGCAAGTTTCTCAACATGAGAGAGAATTTGAGAGAACTTTTTCTTACTCTCTGATATTTTGAGTGTTGGATAATTCTTGCTGGATTTTCGACGAACAAACCTATACATATATACATATATGTATATGGTCCCAATACATATAATTTTTTTTTAAATAAAATGGCAGATAAATGGCAGCCAGCAAAAAACCCCGAAGGAATAAGGAAAACAAGTTGATGAAATGTGATTTTGGTCTGTTTACCGATTCCACTTTCGAATAATTTGACAATCCATTTTTCCACTAAAGTGTGCGGCA